AGTGCATGCCCAGATCACCAAAGGTGTTGTCACCTACATGGAAGATACTCGGGACCTGCTTCTGGGAAACTGGAGAACTGCAGCATGATTGGATATTCTATGTTGGCCCACAATGTTGGGAATGCCCTTTCTCCATTGACTATTGGTGCAGTGGATAGAGTGCTGGGCCTGGAGTCAGGAAGATTCATCTTCAAGAGTTCAAATCTGGCCTCAGACACTTGCTAGCTGTGTGACCTTGGGCAAATCACTTAACCCTGTTTGCCTCAGTTTCCTCATCTATAAAATGAGATGGAGAAGGAAATGGCAAACCACTCCAGTATCTTTGCCAAGAAAAACCCAAATGCGGTCACAGAGAGTCAGACATGACTGAACAACAACAAAAATACATATACACACTACATACCAAATAAGTACAAAACACATAAAATGTAATTTGGCAGGGGAGGACTAGAACCTCGGGGGACCAAAGAGGTTTTAACGTTTTCAGGTAAAATCAATGAAACATTCAATCACCAGGTATTTATTGAGTTTCTACTATGTGCCAGGCAATGGGATACATGTACAGCGAAACAAGCCTTACACGAAATGAGTTTACATTCTAATGGGGGAGAAAACAAGTACATATACATATATATTTAGCATAAAGTATGCATACATGTGTGTGCATTCATACATACATACATACATACATACATACATACACAAAAAGTAAATACTCAAGGGAATCAGGAAAGACTTCATGCAGAAGATAAATGCTTAGTAGAGTGTGCTTCGCACCCAGTAGGCACTTAATAAATTTGATTGAAGATGGTGCATCTTAAAGGAAGATGCCTTGCCAAGTAGGAGGTAAGGAGAGTGTGAATTCTTGGTACGGGGGGAGGCGAAGCTTGAGCTTTGTCCATGACTGCAAGGGACCCTCCAAGCCCTTCTGTCTCTTTCCCTTTCAGTCCCTTTGTGCCTTCAAGGCTAACTCTTGGTTCCTTCCTCCAGGAAGCCGATGTGTCCCCCACCCCCAACTGATGGCATCTCTGAAATTTGTCCTAGCACATTCTCAGAATCCTCTTTTGCCCTGATATGGCTTTCTCTAGTATCATAATTATTTATATACTTGTCTGCCTTCTTCCCCACCCAATTAGGTTCTAAGTTCCACACAAGCAGACTTAGTGCAAGCCAAATATAGTGAGCAGAGTGCTAAACTTGGAGGCAGGAATGACCTGAGTTCAAGTGCTACCTCTAACTCTACCTATGTGAGTTTGCACAAGTCACAAATTCTGAGCCTCAGTTTCTCCATAAATAAAGTGGAGAGACCTGCGTCAACTTCACAAGATTGATAATGTAGGTAAAGCCCTTTACCAATGTTAAAACACTATCCAAATGAAAGTGGTTTTATTTCCTATGTTTCCATCTCCCAAAGTGGTACAGAAACTTGCACAGGGAAAGTGCTCGATGTCTGTTACTTCAGATTGAATTGAGGAAGTGATGCCTCCTTCCCAGGAACTCCCATCCCCCACTCCTTCCACCACAGCCTGCTCACTAACCATCCCTCAGCTCATACCACAGACCAGGAACCATTTCCTTTTCATCTGGCCCTACCCCCCTCCCACTTCTAGAAATGAAAATAATAATGATTAGATCAACTCAACTATGGTTCAAGGGTGGAATCAGTCTGTCAACAAATATGCATTTTTAAAAGTGTTTACTATGTGCCAGAAATTTTGCTTAGTGCTAGAGATACAAATAAAGGCAAAAACAGTCCCTGTTCCAAAGGAGATTACACTCTTTTGAGTGTAAGAAGGTATATAGTTGAGTGTATAGAGACTAGATAGAAGGCTATACAGATTCATCAGTCTACTCCCCTATCACCCCACTCACCATCTCTGGAACTTTCCATAGGAAAGTACCCCTCTCTGGCCACCATTCCCCAATGTACAGGGTTTTCCCCATCAGAATATAGCTAGTTATAGATAGAGCATCCAAATACAAGCAAGAAAGACAGTCCCTACCTTCAAGGAACTTATATTCTAACTGGGGACACATAAAGAGGGACTGAGGGCAGCTAGGTAGCGAAGTGGATAGAGCTTTGGCCTTGGAGTCAGGAGGACCTGAGTTCAAATCTAGCCTCAGACACTTGACACTTATTAGCTGTATGACCCTCGGCAAGTCACAATGACGACTGCCTCACTAAAAAGCAATAAATAAGTAAATAAATTAAAAATAAAGGGGGGCTGGAAGAGAGTGGAGGTAAGCAGATGATATGGAAGTCTGCATATGAGGTAGAGGCCTAATTCCAGGCAAGATGAAAGGAAAGATCACTTATTGGAGCCCAATGTCCTAGGGGCAAAATCCAGTATTCTATACCTGGAGGGGAATGAGGACTATAGCCTGCCTGCTAACAAGAAGTAAAATAAGTTCTAAATAGCAGAGCAGAGACTCTCTTTGCTTTTGTAATTGTATCTCCAGAACTTGGCACATATTAAGAGGGGAATAAATGCCTTTTTTATTCATTTATTTACTCATTCATTGATTCATCCCTATCATTCCATTCTGATTTCACATCTTCTTTCAAATTAACATTCAACCCGCTGGAGGCGTTCCTTGACTTCTCCCTGATTAGTGCTATCTACCTCTTATTCCTTACCCTTACCATGTGAGGGTGTCCCTCTCACCTAAAGAGGTGACATCACCTTTGCCAAGCCAAACCCCTCTTACATATACAAGCAAATCCATTTGATCTCTTTTTCTCCAGCAGACTGCCTCCCCACTATTATCCCTCTTCTCTGATTTATCTTCAGTCATTGCCTGTCTACTGGGTGCTTCCCTGCCCATAAACATACCGTGTCTCTTCCACCTTCAAAAAACCCCTCACTTATATATCTTAAATTCCTGTATCTCTCTCTTCTCTTTTGTGGTGAAACTCTTTGATAAGGCTTTCTATAACCAATCCTTTCCTCTCACTCTCACTATCTTCTTAACTCTCTTGTCTGGCTTCTGACCTCATCATTTTCTGACCTCATCATACAACTGAAATTACTCATTCCAAAGTTACCAATGATCTCTCTCTTTTTTTTTTTTTGCTTTTATGGTAAGCAATTGGGGTTAAGTGACTTGCCCAGGGTCACACAGCTAGTAAGTGTCAAGTGTCTGAGGCTAAATTTGAACTCAGGTCCTCCTGACTCCAAGGCCAAAGCTCTATCCACTGTGCTACCTAGCTGCCCCTATTATAGATTCTCCCTCTCTCTTTTTTTTTCCTTTCTTTTTGGAGACAATCGGGGCTAAGTGACTTTCTCAGGGTCACATAGCTAATAAGTGTCTGAATTCACATTTCAACTCAGGTCTTCCTGACTCCAGGGCTGGTGCTCTTTCCACTGTACACCATGTAACTGCCCCCCAATGACCTCTTAATTGTCAAATGGAACGGTCATTTCTTGACCTCTCTCTAGCTTTTAACACTTTTGATTACCCTCTTCTCCTCCATAATCTCTTCTCTTTAGGTTTTCATGAAACCGATCTCCCTTGGTTCTCCTCCCACCTGACTGCTCCTTCTCAGTCTCCTTTCCTGAATCTGCATCCAGGTCATGCCATCTAACATCGGGTATCTCTCTCCCTCACTCCTGGTTTTGTCCTGGGCCGTTTTCTCTTTTCCCTCTGTAGATTTCACATGGTAATTTCAACAGCTCTCAAGATTCAAAGATCACATCTATGCTGATGATTCTCAAACCTATTTATTTACCCGAATCTCTCTGCTGACCTCCAGTTCTCCATCTCTGCATGTGCCTACCGGACATCGAAAATTGGGCATGCATAAGATATCTTAAACTCAACACGTCCAAAAACTGAACTCCTTATCTTTCTCCCTCTAACTGTGCCAGGTTTTAGGAGAAAGAAATCTATCTTGTCTGTGATGTTGAGTAAGCACCACCTACAGGACAACTGTGGGGTGTATTGCAGACGATCTTAATCTGGATTCAGAAAACCTCCGTTCGAATCCCAGCTCTTCTCTCTACCAGGATTACCTGGGACATGTCCGTGGGCCTCAGATGGCTCTTTTGTCGAAGGAAAGCGTTGGTTTTGATGACTTCTAAACTATCTTGCAGGTTGTTTCCCCCCCTCCCCGAACCCACGCACCCTAATAATCAGGGCAAGCCATGGCCACAAGGTGGCACTAGACTGCGGTCAAAGACTGACTTCAGGCAGGCAGTCAATACTGGGGGATGGGGGGGAGACCATTCCTGGGTGTCTGGGGAGGGGGCGGCAGTCGGGCTGTTTGTCCCTATCCTCGGGGGCGGCCCTGGGGAAAGGGGTTCGGAAGAATCTGAGCCCTGGAACCCCAGGCCACTCATCAGCCAGCCCAGGGCTGCGCCAGGCCTAGAGCAGTGCGTGCATTGGGGTGCTGGGGACCCACAGAAGAGAGGGAGTTTCCTGGGGTGGAAGGGGCCCCTTAGAGAGTGGAACGAGGACGGATGGGAGGGCGGAAGGGACTCTCAGCCCAGCTACCGCCGGCCTCGGGTAGCTCGGGGCTCGCTTTGGGAGGGGGGCGACAGAAGTGGTGGGCAGGCGGGGGGGTGAGGGCTCTGGGTCTCTCCTCCCCGGGTCTGCAACAAGGTTGCGTCACCTCTGCCACTGCGGCGCCAGGTTGTCCCAGCGCGCGGCCCGCGCTGCGGGATCCCCTCCCCCGCCCCCGCTCCGGCTCCCGCTCCCGCTCCCGGGGCTGCGGGGCTTCCCGGCGGCGGGTGGGGGCGGGGGCGCCGGGCCTCGAAGCTCGCCAAACCTGTCCCGTGCTCTTCCGGGAGGTGGGAGCCGCCGCCGCCCAGGTCGGCCCTTAGTTGCGGGGCCGCAGCAGGGAAGGGGAGTTGGTGGGGGGGGGCGCAGCCCATCCGCCAGAGGCGGGGGGGGGGAAGCCGCGCAAAGGGGAGGGGCTCCCGGCGCGCAGACTGGGGCGGGGAGCAGGGGGGGAGGAGGAGGGGGCTCGGCCCCCGCCCACTATGCAAATCGGCGCCTCCTGGTTGGGGTGGCTGGGGCCGCGCAAGGCTGGATATAAGGCGGCTTGGGAACAATACGTCCGGCTCCCGGCTCCCGGCTTTGATCCCTGGAGCTCCGTTGGTGTGGGAGGGAGTGAGTGAGTGAGTGAGTGAGTGAGTGTGTGTTTGTGTGTGTCCGCGCCCGCACGCCTGTGAGTGAATGTGTGCATGTGTGTGTGTGCATGTGTGTGTGCGCGCGGGGGGTGCATGTGTGCAGGCGGCCCGGAGCACGCGGGGGAGCCGGCTCCCTCCAGGTGTGGGGCCGTCGGAGCCAGGTGAGACATTGGGCTGGTCAACCCTGAAAGGCGGGGGGAATTGGGAGGCACTCCTGGGTCCAAGGCACCGACCTCCCCCCCCGCACCTACTCGCCCCAAAGTAGCTCGACTTTGGCCGAGCCTGGGAAAGTTTGCTTTTAACTCTCCCTTCCTCATTTCCACCCGCCCGCTCCCTGCGGCCCTTTGCTCTGGCTGCGGGCTCTGCAAGGGGGGAGTGGCCCCAGCGCCCTGCCCTGCCCTGCCATGCCTCGGGACTCTGCTGCCGGAGGGAGGAATGGGGTCAGCTCTCGGGGGAAGGCGCCCAGGCCGGCTGGGGGTGGGGGTTCTGATCGGCCCCCCCGAGGGGGGGCGTGGATCTGGAGGGGGGAGGTGCTTGGGTTATCTGTTTGGGGTTGGGGGATACACTCTCGGCGCCTGGGGGAGGGAGGCAGGAGGCAGGCGGAGAGGAAAGGAAGGAAGGGGGGAGGGAGGCAGGCAGGCCGGCGGAGAAGGGTGGGAAGGAGGGGCGACGGGTCTTCTTCCTGGAGCCACGGCCCCCCAGCCCACCGGTGCCCCCATCCCCCCCTTCCTGCAGGGAGCGGAGATGGACTTCGACTCGTACCAACACTATTTCTACGACTGTGACTACGAGGAAGATTTCTACCGCTCCACGGCGCCCAGCGAGGACATCTGGAAGAAATTCGAGCTGGTTCCCTCGCCCCCCATGTCGCCCCCGTGGGGCTCGGTCTCTAGCCCGGGTGCCTGTTGCTCGTCAACCGCGAATGGGCCACCCGAGCCGTGGCCTGGGGGCTGCGGGGTGGACGAGGGGGAGGGCCGGGGCTACTCCAAGGCGATGGCCAGGAACTACGCCTCCATCATCCGCAGTGACTGCATGTGGAGCGGCTTCTCCGCCCGGGAGCGGCTGGAGAAAGTGATGAACGACAAACTCTCGGCGGCCGCCGTGGCGGTCGCGACACCCAAGGGGAATCCGGCCAAGCCAACGGCCTCGGGAGACCCAGGCTGTGGCCACCCGGGGCCCGAAGGCGTGGACCCCACGGCCGTGTACCCTTGCGCCCCGGGCGAACCCAAGCCTCAAGCTTTCTCGGGCTCGGAGAGCCAAAGCGATTCCGGTAAGGACTCAGCCTGTCCGGGACCCTTGGGGATAGGGGGAGAGGATAGAGCAGATCTTAGGATGGCTACCTGGGCCAGGGGCCGCCAGGCAGCTAGGGTAAACTCGGGTCACCTCTCCTTGCCCCTCCCAGACAGGTGTTAGTGCTATCTGGAGCCAGGAAGGTTGGACCAGCTGGCTCCTCCAGGATCCATCCAGGCTAAAACCTGAAGGCTGCCCTCTCCACCTTGCCACTTGGGGCACAGAGCCCCCTAGCAGATTTTCTCTCACACACGTGGGTGTGTTGGTAAATAGACTGAAACCCCAAAGGAACAAAAGGGGGTGGGAGTTAAAGGCTTCTTCCTGGGAGTTGGGGAAAGGGTGAGACCCCACTGAGTCTGAGGGGGAGGTGTCCCTAGGGCCCCAATACCAGGGTTTCTGTTGTCCTCTTTCATAGCATCGTAGGATTTTGGAGGTCATTTGTTCTAACCCCCAACTTTTTAGAAGGAGAGGGCCCTGCCCAGAGTCCCACAGCTAGCTAAGTGGTAGGGCTTCCAACCCAGGTCCCCTGACTCCCAGATTTTTCTACTGGGATCTCAGTGGGATGCCGCAAAGGAATCCTTGGGGCCAACATTGCTCCCTTCTTTCTTGGAAGCCCCTCAAAGTCCCCAGGTGTTGAATTCAAGAAACATTTAATTGCCTACTCTGAAAAACACTATACTAGCTCCTGGGGGTCAGAGCCGATTTTCTGCCAGCAAATGTATCTGTTCAACTTGTTCTTCATGGGATTACAACTTACCTGGGAACAAAAAGATGAAACCTTAGAAAACATATATTCCCCTACCTCCTCCTCCTCAGCCCCTCCAAACTTGCACATTTTTATAAGGAAGGCAGTCAGACCCAGAGAGGATCAATGTTACTTGCCGGTGGTTATGCAGGTAGTAAGTGTCTGGATCTTGCCTCCTAAATCAGCACTTTTCTTAGTTGCCTTGCTGCATGGAGATGGCAGAATATTCTTTGTCCCAGTTTTGTCTCTCCTTACCTTGGGGACTTTGGGGAATTGAGCTGAGAATGCCAAGTTAGCTTCTGTTAAAGTGGATCCTACTGGTGCCTCTGGAACCTCAGACTTGGTTAGCCTTTGCCCATCTTATCTTTTCCAAGTTAAGAGAGTGACAGATCTTTGCTAAGGACCTTGCTCATGTTTAACTTGCTAATGAATGGAGAACCATCACACACACACCCCCCCACCCCCTCTCCCCAACCTCAGAGATCCTGGGTCCTAGGAACGGGAGGGTAAACAAGGGCAATCTTGTCCAAAGGGTAGACAGAGGCATGCCAGACATCTTAGAATCCTTTTTTTCCTACACAATGTGGTGTCCAGAGGGGAGATTATGCTGGGGTGGTTGGCATACTGCCTTCCATCCACAGTAGCCCAGATTGCAGGGGTTGAAAGGGACTCTTAAAGCATAGAATGTCATCTGGAAGGGTCTGACTCCCTCATTTTATAGGGGAGGGGGACACAGGTACTCAGCCCCACAGCCACCTTAGCAAATGGCAGAGCCTAGATTCCAACTCTAGGTCTTTTAACTCTTTAGTCTAGGGATCCTACCCCTACCCTATACTCTGAAGCTTATGTTTACTGATTTGAGCAGGCGGCTGTGATGGTGGTTGGAAGGGGAAGGAACTGGCTTTCTTTCCTGCAGCCCTGCTTTTGGAATGCCCTGGGGATGCTGATCGGCTGGTGCTGCCCTAAGCCCAGCTCCTGAGTGTATTCTCTTAAACCTTAATGATGAAAAGAATCACTTTTTTCTCCAGTTGCCTCTCACTGAATCTTTTCTAAAGCTGGAAGCTTTGACACCCTGAGGGTTGCAAATCAACCTTCCTTTGTGGGTGTGTTCTGTGGCTTTTTTTTTAATGTTACTTTTCTCCAAGCTTTACTTACTGACCTGGCCTTTCACCTGAACCTGTTTCCAGGGCCCCTGGCTCTGGGACTGGCCACATGGCCTGGGAACAAAAAGCAACAGATTGCAAACAATGAGGGGGGTGGGAACAATGACTGACATCGAAGATTAGCCAATGAGTGGCTGAGGACTGGCTGAAGCAGCATTCCAAACAGCTGTGAACTAGCCAATCCTGAGCCTAGGCCAAGAAGAGCTGAATGGGCCAGTTTTATTAATGGGGAAATAATGCAATTGTTCCCACAATGCAAGTTTGAGTCACAAAGGGACTTAAGTATCTTGATATGCAAAGAGCCTAGGAAATGGGTTCAAAGACCCTAGCTTGGTGAAGTTAGAAATTTGTGTAGGAGAACTAGGCTGAACAGGCTAGATTTCCTTGCTCCCCACTCTGCCTCTGGGAGCCTCCCTCTGGCTTCAGAAGAATTTGGGGGAGTGACCTTCCCAGGAATCGAGTGAGTCAGGTACCACTCCTGGGAGCCTTGCCTTACCCCAGTGGTTTACACAACACTAATATTAACACCCAAAGAGTTGCAAAGTGCTTAGAGGGAAGCCAGGTGGTGTAAGTAGCTAGGGATCTAGATTTAGGGATCAGAGGACCTGGTTTCTAAGAGTAACTCTGCCTGTTTGGTACCCTGGGAAAGCAGAATGACAGGATTAGCCCCTATAGTCTCCCAGGACCCGAGAACCCTCATGAGTCTAGGAAAGGGTCACAGATGGGAAATCTGAAACACACACTGGTTAAGTGATTAGCATAGCTAGGATCAGAGCAGGATTTGAACACTGGGCTCTTCACTAGTGCTTTCTCTTGCTTCCCACTCTGTGAGTCCCTTCCGGTGGGGCAGTCCTCCTGCTGACGGACACTGATGGATAGCTTAGGACATTGCCAGTGGTCCATCTGTCCAATACCCCAAGCCTGCCCCCTTTCATTTCAAAACCTGTAGTCCTTCAAAACCTAGAAAACCTTTTTTTGGGCCCATGTTTGGAAGCCTGGGGGAGGGACCACCTGTGGGTGATGAATGTTCCTGAAGCCCATTGAGCCCAAGGGTGAAATGTTCTTAAGAACAGCCCCTTCCCTCCCCCAGGGGGGAGCCAGGGCACATTGCAACCTCTCTGTCTGTCTCTGAAAGTCTTCCTCTGAATGAGACAACGGGAATGGCGAGGTAGGGGGATAATAGGATTTATAACTTGTGAAAAGTAACAATGGGCCCAGTGCGGGCTGTGCTGGGCAGGAACAAAGGGCCCTGCTCGGCCCCTAGACCCCTCATTTACAATTCTGATTGCGCATGAAAGAGTCCGACCAGGGGAAGATCTTTATAGCTCAACTTTGTCCCAGGCTAGTGGGGCACCCTCTCCTCTTCCCTTCCCTTCCATGGGGGAGGGGAGAGCCTGGCTAGGCTGGGGACTCTTTTGTTCTTATCCAAACCTTGCTGTGCAAAAGGAAATTGGAGAATATTTTTCTTCTTCCACCACTTTGTAGAGAGCAAATCAGCTGGCTTTCAGATCCCCTGTCGCTTGGGGGCTTTGCTGCCTGGCTTGGAAAGTGGTATCATCTGCCTCTTAGCTTTCAACCCCCAGAGCAAGATACCAAAGCAGGAGTTTCTAGGGTAGCCACATGCCAACCAAGATTTGTTGAAATCCCCTCCTTCATTGCCCATCTAAGGTCAAGTCTTCCCTGGTCACCTGCATCTATAAGTGACCCGTAGACTCAGAGGATATTAGACCTGGAAGAGATCTTCAAGGTCTCTATTTGCAAGTGAGGCAACCAAGGCCATTTTACAGATGGGAAAATTGAGGCTCATAGTCTCTAGGTTACATAGCTGGTAAAGGGCAGGACAGGGATCTGAATACAGATTTCTTTATACTGTGCCATGATGCTATCAGTGATTCCTGCCTCTAATAAAAGTAACTTCTATGGCACTTTTTATAAAGCACTTCCTTCCAAAAACCCTTAAAAAATGCATAATGAGCATTAGTACTAATACCCCAACTTTTGGATGAAGAAGCTGACACCTGAGAAGGTGATTTGCCCAAGTTCTTAAGGATCAAAGGACCTTAGAGGCAATCTAAAGAGCTGGGTTCAAGTCTTGCCTCAGATAGCTACTATGTGATTTGGGGCAAGTCATTTTACTCCTGTGGTCCTCGGGTTCGGGAGGAACAAGGAACATGGACTAGATGACCCTTAAGGCCCCTTCCAGTCCTTGAACCTATGATTCTCCCTCTTTTAAAGTAATACTAGAAAATGCGAGCATTTTAAGTCCGTTATTTTGGTCTTTGTAACCTCAGTGACTGGCACATAGTAGGCACTTAATACTTGCTGATTATTTTTGCCCAAGGTTACACGAGAGTAGTAAGTGCCAGACCTGGGATGTGAATGAACCTGGGTCCAGATCCAGGGCTGCTTCCACTAGGCCACACTACCTCATATCTGTTAACTTTTAGTCTTGTCTGACTCTCCATGACCCCTTTTGGTGTCTTCTTGGCAAAGATACTGAAGTGGTTTCCCATTTCCTTCTCATTTTATAGATGAGGAAACTGAGGTAAACAGGGTTAAATGAATTGTTCAGGGTCATACAGCTAGTAAGTGTCTAAAGCTGAGTTTGAACTCTGGTCCTCTTGACTTTAGGGCAGGTGCTTTATCCACTGTGCCACCTAGCTGTCTGCCTCATAGGTGCTAGAACCAGGCTGGCTTTAGGTATGGGCTACATGTCACGTTTGGAGATCATTCTACTCTGCCTTGCAGGCTGGATCTTTCTGGACGCTATTGTTTGAATTTTTGAGGGCCTAGGTGTAAATTTTCATTCTAATAATAACGATGGGGGCAGTTAGGTGGCAGAGTGGATCAAGCTCTGGCCTTGGAGTCAGGAGGACCTGAGTTCAACTCTGGCCTCAGACACTTGACACTTACTAGCTGTGACCCTGGACAAGTCACATAACCCCTATTGCCTCACTCAAAAAAACAAAAAAGGGCAATAATAAATGATGGCATTTACATAGCACTCTGAAGGCTTGTGAAGCAGCTTGCAGATACTACCAGTGGGATCTTGGCCAAGGTCCTTGGCCTCCATTTCCTTATTTGAAATTGAAGCTTTTGGAGGTCTGGAGTCAGAGGACCTGGGCTTGCTTCCTGGCCCTGCACACTTAGGATAACCGGACCAGAGTTGGAAGGGGCCTCCACAACCACTTAGACCCCTTCATTTGACAGATGGGAAGAGTGAGGCCTGGGCAAGGTTAAATCATGCACAGTGGAAAAATAAGCATCAGGGGTGGGATCTGAACCCAAGGTTCTGACTCTAGAGGCATTCATTTTACCATCCCACAGTGGCTTGCCTCCATGGGACCTTAGTCCATTTTACTTCTCTGAACCTCTCTTTCCTCATCTGTCAAATGAGGGGGTTGAATTAGATGACCTGTGGGGCTTGAAGGCCCCACCTCTGTGGTCCTGTATACCTACCGTATTCTAAGTAGCTTGGTGCACATGTCTATCTTTGATTGTGAACTCTGTGAGGCCAGAGACTGGATTTTTTGGTCTTTATCCTTGCATCCTCAGCTTGTAGACATACCCTTGCATCTAGTAGGCATCTTACTCATTTTCTTTACTTTTTTCTCCTTGGACAGAGGGTGAAGAGATCGATGTGGTGACGGTGGAGAGGAGGCAATCCCTCAGTGTCCGGAAGCCAGTCACCATCACAGTTCGAGCTGACCCCCTGGACCCATGCATGAAACATTTCCACATCTCCATCCACCAACAGCAGCACAACTATGCTGCCCGATTCCCCCCAGACAACTGTCCTCAGGAGGGGACTCCAGAGAAAGAGGCCAAAGAGGAGGAGGGGGAAGAAGAGGAGGAGGAGGAAGAGGAGGAAGAACAAGAAGTAGAGGAGCTTGTGGGGCCCCCAGGGCCTGCCAGTCCCCCATCCTCAGAAATGGGGCCCAGCCAGTCCAGGCCGGCCTCTTCTGACACCGAGGACGTGACCAAGAGGAAAAACCACAACTTCTTGGAACGGAAGAGGCGGAATGACCTCCGCTCTCGCTTTCTGGCACTACGGGACCAGGTGCCCGCTCTGGGCAGCTGCACCAAGACTCCTAAGGTAGTCATCCTCAGCAAGGCCCTGGAGTATCTGCAGACATTGGTGAGTGCTGAGAAGACCATGGCCTTGGAGAAGAGGCATCTCAGGGCACGGCAGCAGCAGCTACAGAAGAGACTCGCTCAGCTCACTGGCCACTAACCTACCAAAAAGACAGAGCTGGGGCTCTCATTGTGGAAAACAGACTTCTACTTTTCTGCCCTTCCCCCTTGGTAATTTGCACATTTTGGGTCCCATGGGACTAACTGGACTATTGATCCCAGAATGCACTGCAGCCAAATGCACGCACTCATGCTCACTCGCACACACACACACACACACACACACACACACACACACACACACACAC